ATATTAATAGGCTACTAGGGTTTGAAAACAGTATGGAAATTTTCATTATTCTTGCTAGCACAAGAAAAGAAAACCCTAGCCGTCATTCTTGTTCTCTGTGTGGATCACCATTGGAGGCTGGACAATTGGACAGTTTGGATTGCAGATCGTGATCATTGGAGTTCATGAATCAGCAAAGGGTTTTGCAGAACTCATCAAAGGTATAATTCAAATCACAGTTTCTATCTAAACGCATTGCAGATCCTTGGTGGGAATTGAAAATTGTTTTATTTCCGCTGTGCAAGATTAAGTAAATTCCCAACAGATTCTAGACACGTACTGTTACGAGGATCATTATCACATCCGAAAGATACAATAGGATTCAAAGAATAAAGATTAAGTTGTTGTAATCTGAATTTTACAATTGTACTTTTATCATTTCGTTTGTATCAATCTTATGATTTTGTTTGTACCAATCTTACCATTTGTTAAGCTATAAATAAATGTGCTCTAGATGAATAAAATACAACAGAAAAATACATTTCTGCATTTGAGTTATTTCTACATAAACAAGCTCGTTTTGAAAACGATACTAATTTCTAGTTTTTGCCTTGTGAAAATCCTAATTGTAAGTTTTATCTCTCTCGTCATCTCTTTATACGTGTTATTTCATTGTAAATTACTTTCATTCCTTTGATTTGGTGGCATATTGGATTGTTAAGTGGTCCTTTAAGATGTTTCTGAAAACAGAGAAATAATTGAATTAGTTTATGAGCAGCTTTGTTGTTCAACATAATGCTAAAGTTTCCTTTCTGTAGTAACTTTATATTTTAAACAAGGTAGTTTAACATAGTATCCGAGCATAGCATAGCATGCTGAGGTTTGAAGTATAAATCTTGCCATTACCAATATTGAGAATTGTGTACACGTGTTCTAAGAGTCTATGTAAGAAAAAACAAATTATGTTAGTTGTTCATTCAAAATGTACATTAAGGTTAACACTATGTGATGTGTCAAAATCTGTGACATTAATTGTTAAAAATGTGGTTAAAACTAAAGGTATAAAAAGTTGTCACCTCACAACAATGTCAAACTTGATATATATGTAACAAGACTGAAGAAAAGAAGCAGACGAGAGGTACAAGAATCTCCATCTTTCAAAGACCAAAAGGAGCTTTCACTTTCGAAAATACTCTTTTTAGGGCCCAAGGTAGAATAGATTCGTGTTTAAACTATCTTTTACCAGGTTAAAATTATCTTGGTTTTGGCTGCCAGCAAAGAAGTGACCACGAGTTAAACCATATCTAGATCACTTCCAGGTTTATTCTATAAAATAAATGTTTCAGAAACTGCATCATGCAGCATAATGCTCAAAACGCAACAAAAAGAAGGATGAATGAGATTTACAGTAGTGTTTTCCAAGTTATTAGGAAAAAATGAAGAGGATCAAGAAAAGAAGTCGAAAAAGATATTTGAGCATTTTCCGTTTTGATTCAAGTATCAGCTATCTTCTCACTTCGGATCGGTACGTGTTTGCAACAAAGTTGAAACCAGTTAATGATGTACCAAGAATGAAAAGTTGGACTGCAAACAAGAGACTGAAGATATTAACTACGTTGTACATTAATTCTTTCGATCTAGATATGCTTTAAAGGGACAGAAAGGATGCTGGAATTTCATGTTGAAATGTGATGTTGGGTGCACTTGCATTGGACTGTTCAAAGCTCGTAATGAACAAATCAACTTCTTGTTCTATCCCCAATTTGGCTGATAATAGCAATAATCAAGGTGAGTTTATCTATCTTTACCGTGTATTTGCTTACCGGCTTTTTGCAAATTTTCTTGTTAAGGTCACATTTTTAGTCCATACCATGTATTCCTTGGCAAAAGCAAGAAATGAATTAGCTTGGTCGATTATCACAGCATAATTGGCTCTAGTTATGGTGAAGTAGATTTTGGCCCTAGTTATGGTGAAGTAGATTTTGGCCGATATTATGTTCCATTTCGTTGTCCCACTCAGTAGCAGGCAGTCAATTTTTACGAAACGTGTTGGTAAGCAACGTTAAATTTCCTACAGTGAAAAACAACACGATCCTCTGTGAATCTACTATGAAACTCAGCATGCCTGTACATTACTTTGTCAAGCTTTCAACCATTGCACAAAATAATACACTCAACTTTGTTTGAATATGTACCCTCATTCCATTGTAGAGATATCTTCATTTTTGGTTTCAAGAGAACTGTACAACTTCTTGTATGCAAGCCCTCAGATTCCCATTTGGTAGCTGCATTTTTACATTTTGATATAATGTTTCAATAGACTTAACCACCCATCTTACTCCCATTTCACCTCAAATTTCTTCATCAGGTAGGTAGATCGGTCTCTCCCATTTGATGCAAACAATTTTACCTCATTCCACATCATGTTTCAATAGACTTGAGTTTTGATGTTCGTCAATAGTTCATTGTATTTGACATGACAGGTTTTATGGATTATTCAAACCTCTTTATGACTTCTTAATAAAATCAAGTCTCACTACATCGTGCAATTAGGCTATCACCAGGACAACCTCATATGCCTTGCTTACGCTACTACAGCTACCTATCCACTTGCCCAGGAAGGATGCTAAAAGTTATTCATACAAACATCAAAAATATCTCAAAGTTCAGAATAATTTTACCTACTTGTTCTAATTTCCGAAACTAAATTTTCATTTATCCTTTAATATCCTAAAGTTACATTTCCTCATATTATCATTCAAATTTCTTCTGACAGGGACCTAATCTTTACTAAAGAATTTTAAATCGACCTATTCAAGTCTTCCCAAAATTGTTGTTTTGCTGTTGTTTAATCCTATTACGAACAATTAGCACAATATAGTCACAACTACAAGAAAATCATCTTTCACGTGATCAATATTTATGTAAATGTAACAACAATTCCAAGGGTCAAAGTCATGATCGACATTAATACTCTCAACCCAATTTGAGAAACCGAAAGACTTGAACTGTGAGTGTTGTATTGCAAAATTATTTGGTATAAAGCAAGAAACAGATTCTTGTTTTCATCAAAAAAATGTACCTGAAATCAAATTGAATTCCCTTCATCGGTGCTGAAAAGCTTCATCCTTGACAATGGCGTTCTCAAATACCCTTCCACTTCAAATTTCTTGGGTGAAAGCTTACGATACTTAGAGAACTGCTCTCTGGCCTCTTCATTCCTATCCAACAAACTATAAATCATCCCTTTACAAAAGTAGGGCCTGAAATCATTAGGATCCTCCTTAACAAGTTCCTCGTAGCTCATCAATGCCTCCTCCACATTCTTCTGCAAGAATTGCACTTGCGCCATTATCAACTTCACGTCCCTCGCCTCCTTCGCCTTATTATCCTCCTCTGCGATTCGTAGTGCCGCTTCTAACCTCTTCATGACAGCCTCCCCCTCTCCAGACCTGTCCATCAATAGGGCATTTTCGAACAATGCCTCGAAGGATAATGGGTTCTTCACCAGAATCTCCTCGAAAACTTCGCGAGCTTCCTGAATCCTTCCCATTTCGTTTAAAACCCTCGCCGTCAAGAATTTCCATTCGTTGTTTTCAGGCTGAGCGGATGATAACTTCTTTAGTATATTCAAGCTCTCTTCATCCTCGCCCACCTCGAGTTTTTTCTGGAGGAGCGTTTTCAAGGCATCAATGGCTTCCAAATTTGACTCCAACAACTGGTTCAACGGGGAATTCGAAAAATCTTCTCGGGTATGAACTTCTTCTTGTTGGGTATCATTTTCCTTTAGCTCTTCTACCAAATTCGCTGGAGGCGATGAAACTTCAGCTTTTGAGGGCAGTTGCTGAAATTTTACGAACACAGCCGCCGCGAAAACAACGGCGGCGGCTGTCGTTTTGATATGGGAAATGAATGGATTTGGTTTTCGAGATGGGATGGCATTGTTGGAGGAGGAAGAAGCTGCCGTAATAGTGAATTTATGGTTATGGTGTGTAATGGCAATTCGTAAAAAGTTGTGGGATGGTCGGAGATTGGTGGGTATGGAGGGGCAGAGGTAAGGATACGGTGGGTTGAGGTGGCGGAAAGCGGAGGAGCCAATTGTCAGGGATGCGTCCATTGTGGGGATAGGTCAGGTTTTAAGGTTTTTCAAGAAATGGGATGGGACTTGGGAAGAAGATGATAAATATATTTTGATGGACTTTCAGAATTTAGTGGCTGATTTGGGCTCTGATCTGTTTTCCAGTAACGAGTTGAGTTTATTTAGGAGCCAATCTGAGACTCAAAAGCCCAAAGACTGTTTTTGTCTAATTTATTATGACAAATTGTTGTAAATAGCACCAATTGAAGTTAAAAAAATGATTGGACAGCTTAGCGCCATTCCTTATGGATTTAGGACTCGTGAGTCGTTGACTTATTTTTCTTAGAGAAGAATGTATGACGAATCAGAGAACAAATATGTCTAATTTGTTAAAATCATCTAAAATAAATAAAACGTAAGTTTGTTTACATTTTCAAAACTCCACACTAGATACATAGTTGGATAGTTGACATACCAACTTCGAACTTGAGGAAATTGCGTGGGAATTTTCTTTATTAATTTGAGTTGAAAATTTTCTATTAATAACAAACTTTCGAAAAATATCCAAAGTATCCTTGACATTGCTAGCAAATACTTAAAAGAAATTACCCAAATGTGGCCAAGAAGCCACCGAAAAGTCCTTGTTTAATCCCCATTTTTATCAAAATATATTTTTCTCTTTCTTTTTCAATAAAATAATATTACATACAATCCAAAAAAAAAATCTTTATTTTTAACCACACATTTTTCATCAATTTACTATTCCAAAATATATTCTACACAAAAAATAGGGATAGGTTTTTTTTAACACAACATTTCAAGAAAATCATGATCCCTTGTCAACTGACATTGTTAATTGTCTTGATCGCCGAGATTATAAAACGAACAAGATTACAGTTTAACACGAAAAAGCGCTTGTGGCGCACAAAATATGGATATTCTTTTCAGTTTGCAAGATGAAGCTTTTGATGTGTACTAACAACTTCTCATAGAAGCATAGTTATGTATGGGCCTACAACTACGTACACATGTGACCAAAGTACCTGAAATCTTGACTGCATGAAATTGTCCTTACCTCCATCATTTATGATATCTGGCTGCCCATATTGTCGATATTTTTGCAAAAAGGCAAAGTAGCTTTTTTGCATGTTATTTTGGACATTTTTCATTAAATTATGAAAAGTATAAAAATTTCATATTCCACCTATCAAAGAAAAATTTTATCTGACTTTCTCATTAATTCTTTAAGGGTGATGTATTCAATTGGGACTTTTGAAAACTTTTATAGACTTTTTTTAAGTGATGACTTTTGTAGATTTTGTAGATATTTTAGAAATTTGTATGGAATTAGTAGAAATCTTTTGTAAACTTTTAAATTTTCATTTTAAAACTTTTAGAAACTTTTGTAGAATTCAAAAAACTTTTGAAAACTTTCATTTAAAATAGATTTTATGTGGATCTAGTGCAATATTGTAAAATTATCACATACGAGATGGTGGTTCTTGCAATTCCTCGTCCTTCCGTTTCCCCTCATATAATAAAAAAATATTTTAAAAAGAATAAAAATTTAAGATCTTAATTAAATAAATAATAATTATACATATAAAAAATAAATTTAATATTCAATATTATTAATATAATATAATTTTAAAGAATAGATAAAT